ACAGCCAGCCTTCCTTTAAAAGCCACTGAAAAGTAGCAATTTGTAAAATATGACAAGCTGTAAAAAATAAATCACCTACAGTAATTTAAGCACAGGGACCAGATTGAATTCCCCACACATCATAAAGCTACAAGAAAGCATCTTAAATCCACATCTTCAGACGTCTTTGCTCTGTCTCTCTGTTTTAAACCCTTTTTTACGACTTGGTCACCTCCCCGCCATTTCGAGCCACGTTTTCACAGCCCACAAGACATAATTAGGACGGACAGTGATTTGCAGAGTAAAAATTAGTTTAGACAGCAAATTTGTCATCACTTCTATGGACCGCACTCAGATGCTCAATTACTCTGGTGTGTGTAGACAACGTGTTCGGTGTTGTTTTTCCAATGAGGAGCTGAGACAAACAAGAACATTTATCAAACGAGTGGGTTTGAATTTTATGAGTAGTTTCTTCTTTTACCACTTTGATGATGTGGTAATAATTCACATTTTAGTTGCTGGACAGAAGAAAGGTTCATGATGCGATTGCCCTGATTTGCATTGGTTAAAATATTTGGGACGAGTCTGGCCTGCATTGTTTCTTGGCTGTGGTTAAATCCAATTTATTTATGTTTAATCATCTGTAGAGGCCCTGTGCCTATATTATTAAAGAATATCTCAAATAATTTTATATTTTGATTGACTCCTCATTTAAAACTGTTCTCAAGTGCTTTCTCTCATCTCCGCTGCTGTCACTAGCTAATTCTCATCAAGTCTCTTGGAGGAGGAGCCACACATTCCAACAAATTGATACATATCTCCAAGAGACATTTTCAATTTGACAAGAAGCAGGGAATTTGCAAATATGACGTGCCGCTATATAGTGTAGAAACAGCAACACAGTTTTGTGCTCACTGCTGAGTTAGCCCAACTCCAGAAAGTGGTGCTAGTATTTACAACACCTTGCACTATGCGTCATTATTAATCCTGAGCAATCTTGAATTGCTTTATCGTTGAATGTGTAAGCAGAGACAGAGAACAGGGAGGAAGGAGTGGTGTAAGGCTGAGAAGGTGCTAAAGCTGAGGGGAAGTGCAGATTCAGCTCATTATTTTCTGTAGGTTTTCCCTTTTTTCACATAAAAAAACAGGGCTTCTATTATCACTATTTGTTTGGAAAATCTTAAATATGCCCAGTTAAGAAATTAAAATATAGCTTTGACTTTTGAAATTTGGTGGGTTTGAAGTAAAAACTAGCATACTAGAATTTATTTTCATTTTCTTTAATATAGAGAGATGGGGTACAGGCCAAGGAAGAACCCATTAATCTTTCGAGTGGATCTGGACACAAGGGCAGGTCCAGGAATCTTTTTAATCTCTTTATTTCACAATGGGGGATATTTCTTTTTTTACATTTTCACTAATTTCGTAGGAAAATTTATTCAATCCTAATTTAGAAAATCAGTCAATTTATGGGTGTTATTTGGTGCAGTTTCATTAAATTTAAGGGGAATATTGGACCGTGGTAGAGGTATGTGCTCTACTGAGTACATTTCTTTTTTAACTGTTACTTTTCACCACTGCTCAATGCTACAGCCCAGTTATCAAAAATATTTTAGACTCCTCAGGTTAGGAAACTCAAATGCTTCTCAAACTGTGGAGCTGACTCCACCTGGGGGGTATAGAGGCATTACAGGGGCAAAGAGATGTGGTGTGAAAAGCTGAGTAAATCTGCTTCACACAGGAAAACAAAAATCCTTTCATATTCTCAGTGCTGTCAAGATTCAGGTTTTGGACTGAAAGATGAGAGTGGACAGATCTCTTGAGGTTAGAAAAGAAAAGAAAAGCACTCGACTCTTATCAAACAAACACATCGGTTACAGTCCATAGAATGTAATAAAGTCGATCTTTATTGTCCACTTTATTGCTAGAAATAATATTTTTTTGACAATTAAGGCTCAATTTTACCATCAAATTTCACTGTTCTTGTGGTTGACTGGCGCTCAACTGGAGCTGCATGACAAATAAACTTTCAAAACTTTGTCAAGTTGGTGCGGAGGACACCACAACACCAAACCACTCTCTCAGCATAGGCAGTGTCTCTCTCATGCCATCTTTCAGTTTATCTCATAGAGGTAGGAGTCCTTCGCTGTCACACAGCTGTGCTCCTTGCACACAAACACAAACAATCCTCCGTGAAACCCACTGTGGCGCAGCGTCTCTGTTTCTCTGCTGCAGCAGGTGGGCAGCAACTGGAGCACAGACACTGCCACGTACGATCAGCTCCTGGGGGCTTGCACTTGCACTGACACGGCCAGTCGTGCCGCCATCCGGCCAGAGCAGAGGTCACGTGGGGCAAAATTGATGGTCTTTCTCGAAATGCAGCACTCTGTAAAAAAAACATTTAGATATAAATTAATTCCAGGCAATACCATCGTGATTTATGTTTTAAAGGTGACACGCACCTCTCCGTATGGCTTAAACAAAACACTTAGTGGACTCATCCAGCTGACCCAAATCTGGCATTAATCTTAAGAAAAATCAAGAACGGCTTCCTTAATAGAGCTTAAGAGTCTTAAATAGCTCTTACTCTGACTGTGCTTGTGGGTTAAAAAGAGATTTATTTTTAAAGAAATAATTAAAGGCTGCTTCTTAATTGACTTGTCCTGCAGCCAATATGACATACATTAACTGACCTTACAGTCCTCTTCATAAATCAGTGAGCCCAGTAATTTTACATTTAGATCACTTGGAGCTGAACTAATCAGTAATCTCATTCCAAAGTGGATCGGTTGCAGTTTTGCAGCGAGCAGGTCTGCAAAGGGAGCACTCGTGTCCTCGCCGCCGCTCACACGGACTCCAGAGTGTAAGCTTGGATGTTATAGAGCGAGGTTAATTAAGGTTAATTAATCCAATTTGGAGAATATGGCTAAAGCTGAAATCCTATATCAGCCGTCTGCATGTGTTAATTTAGTTTGGACAGTTATTTAGTCTGAAACATAATTATTGCAAAATAAAATAAATGGAAGTTGACAACAGTTCATAGTTTTGGTTTATTTTTTCAATGAAGAAATGCTGCTGTATAGTGTAGTAACTGATTCATGACGGGTTTTTTACATGACAGTCTATTTTAAAACTGCTTAACAAGCCATTTTCAGATTGAAGTAGTTCCAATTGGAAAATATTCATCCCCTCCCACCCACTGACTCAGTGATGAGTGCAGACGTGAAGCCACCATGTGATGTATGAATTACATTTACAGAGCTCCACCAGGATATACACCATTAGTGTAGGCAATCATTGGAAGTGGTTATGACCTGCTATTGTTTCCATCAACTGTCAGATGAAAATTAGCTCACTTTAGTACTTTGGTGTCAAAACAACGGCAGCAATAGTTTTGTAAGGTTCAGTGGTGGTGGGCGTGATGAATGAAAAGTAACCTGATTACCACTGGAGCTATTAAAACCCCTCATGTGTGACCCGCCTCTTAGCTTAGCAGCGGGGCCGCACATTGCTGTTCTGCACATATCAGTGGATGTGTGTCACTATTGATTTCAATCCTTTTTTTCCCTTAAAAGCTCATGCAGGACTTACATATATAATTTGCAACATATATTTAATACAGCAGGATACAGGGCATAGTAATAGTCTTGACTCAATTGTGCAATTATTTAGCAGGTTTATATCTATATTGTATATCATAGGAGGCCACACACACACACACACACACACATATTCAGCCAAGCTGTTGGTAAGGCGTATTCAAACTGGCAACAATGAGAAGCAATCAGCCAGCAGGCATTACAGGGATTTAACACAAATGTGACAGACTACACTGATATATTCTGAGTCAGTGTCATCAATATTACATTTTTACCATGTTGTCTTTGTTGTTTTTTTACTGTTTAAAAATTGACGCCCACTTGTATTTGAAAAATTTACAACACCACAGATCTCGTGAACCTTCTCCTAATATTCACAGAACAGTAGTAAATTGAAATGTGCAACAATTTGCATGTACAGACTTATTTAAAACATGGTTTAATTTAGCTTTTTAATTTGGATGAGTTTATTGTCCACAGAATGTTTTGTTTAATTCAGTCTCCTTGGGACATTTGAATCATAAAATGATGATGAAAAAAAGTGATGTTTTTTAAAGAAACTACACACTAAGAATTTTTATTAAACAAAAAATAAAATTAGATACAGAAGATAGTCCTCTACAATATTCATATAAATACATTTGCATTTGTGTTCATTATAAATCCAATGTTTCACTGCCAACTTTATATTTTGTGTAAAGTTATATACTATGATTTGGATATGTAATTCTACCAAAAGATGTACGTCATCTAGGTTATCCCACATACTGATAACTTTGGTATTTCTGGTGTTTTCTGGTTTTTTTCCATAAAATCCTTAAAAATGGCTCAGACAGTATAGCGCATGTCCCTTCCAGGGCCCTTTAATTTATTTTGTTCTGATACCTGTCGTCCCATCACAATGAGCCGTGGAAATCCACAATATACACAGACGCACACAGGGAGTAATTTGGCCTGAGGCAAAGCCAAAGGCTGTTTACCACCAAAATACTGTTCCTTACACTTGTGAACACACAGAAGATAATGATGTTGTGGTATTTGTATTTAATTGATGAAAGAGGTGCAGTGGTTTGCTCTGCTGTCTCACACACTATGTGGGTTTGAACCTTGGCCCATGTAGTTTAAAGGGCTGCAATTTGTCAGGGTTAAACCTCAGTACAAAGAACTATAGGCGAAGGAACCTTCTGCTTAAGTGTGAGTGTGAGCACTATAATAAACTGGCAACCTGTTGTGTTTGCCCACCTGCTGTGAGCTGCTTTAGGCTCCATAGGCAGTGACCTTCAGTAGAAGTAAGATTCAAGAAAAACAACGACAAAGGAAAAACACGAAGAGAACACAGTCATTTGTTGATGACAGCATTTTACTATTAGCCTCGGACCTGTGGGGATATTTTGCTAACTGCCCTTTCTTTTTATTTTTCAGACTTGGAAGACTTCAAGACCCACAGAAGAAGCTCTGTATCGGTGCGTGAAGGTCAAGGAGTGGTTCTGCTGTGTGGCCCTCCACCACACTCAGGAGGTAAAACACTGCATTCTCATTTTTTCTTTTCTTTTTTATCGACTGTTCATCTCTGCTGGCAAGCAAGCAAACAGATGTCTGTTTTAAACTGGTAATTAGGAGCTGGCTGAGTGAGAAACAAAACGGGAATGAGATCGTAATGTTTGACATGTTTTCAGATGGGTATATGCATTCTGAAGCTCACAGGGTTTGGTCGGGCCTGTGCTGTTTAAGATCCAGCTGTTTCAGTGGCACCTTTGATTTGGTAGTCAACATCTTACATCTGTTGCTATTGGGGACTGAAAGATTTCCAAGTGAGTCTTGCTCGGCTCAGGCGTGATGAGTCATGGTCAGGCCACGAGAAGTGCGACAGCCTCGCTGTCAGGAGCCTCCAGCTGAGGCTGCTTTGATTCCTGCCTTAATTTGCTGCCTGATTTCAATGTCAGCTGAGTTTTAACTGTTGTGCAGCCACAATCTTTCACTGTTGTTTCTCAAGCGGAGGGCAAACAACACCCTGGATGGATTATAAAAGTTGTAGAATAAGACTTTTTCCTTCCGCTGAGTGACATATATTTCAGAGTGAAATGTGAGCAGGGTGTAGTTACAAGAAGCATTTAAATCAAATCTGGAGCAAGAGAGCTGACTAAGCTTTCACCTCCCACACCAGCACTGTAATATCAGGAGGACGAGGGAGAAAAGATAAAATCAGACTTCAACCTGCTCTTAGTCCTAGCAACGGTTTTCCCCACTGATAATCAAAAAAGGCATATTTTGAGATCGCTCTGCTCGCTGTTTGAAAACTTTTACTCAGCGTTTCCCACAGAATGAATTCCCTATATGGTGTTAGAATGAGGTTTGACTGTTTGAACGGTAAAAACTTTGTGGACAATACAACAACACTACAAACAGCACTGCATACAGCTATACAATGCAGCAAGGGAGCGTGTGTAAGAACATAATGAAAAAAAACAGAAACCGTGTCGTGACAAATAAGTATAAGCCAGAATTAAACAGTTTAGATAATTAATTAAGGAAAAACTGTTGAAAAAAGAAGGAAAAACCTTCCTGTCAAACTCCTGGCAAGAAAGCAAATAAGTTTGTGTCAAACTATTCTTTTAAATCGCTGCAAAGGTAACTGCTGTGCAAATTGAGGACCTATTTTCTCTTCAGCTGCTACACACTCCAGTGGTATTTGAGGAACATGTGGCATGAAATGGATGTGCCAAATGGCTTGTATGAATATCTGCATTAAAACTTCCGGCAACCTTCTTCATATTTTTGGTCTAATTGCAGCAGATGTGTCCTTTCATTGCTGCTACTCTTCATTTATTGGGGAAGCGACAGCTGCTTGGATTACACCCCCCCCCCCCCCCC